GAGAACAATAACTTTGATATTAGTAGAAATATTGGCTATGTAGCTTTAAATAGAAACATTGCTCAAAATGCTAGAAATTCAGAAGAGGGGTTATACAAAGAATCCAAAGAGGGGACCAGCAGGTGGCGTGGTGGTTAAGGCGCTGGACATTCCCACATGGCTGACCACGGTTCAAGTCCTGGACCTGGTGGCTTGCTTTCTCACTTTCTCTCTCTCTGTCTCTCTCTGGTCAAAATAAAATAAGTAAATGAATAAATAAAATTAAAAATAAATAATTCTTTTAAAAAACTTTTTTAAAAAAGAATCAAAAGAAATACTGTGCTGATATGCATATTGGCACTAATGGATTACAATGTTACAAAATGTCTATAAAACTGACCATAGGGGCCAGCAAGTGGATGAGGTGCTGTACTCCCACATGGCCTACTGCAGTTGGAGTCCTGAAGGCCTGTTTTCTCATTCTCTCTCTCTCTCATGCTCTCGCTTTCTCTGGTGAATGCATGTACCCTACAGCAAAATTAAAATAATAATAATAAAATTAAATAAATAATCTCCTTTAAAAAAAAAACAAAGACTGTCCATAGCCAGCCCTGGGCCTGCCTCAGATCACCCTGCAGCTGCTGTGATACGCCCACCTCAAGCCCACATCTACAGCCCAGCCATGGAAGAACTCTACTTTGCTTTCAGAACCACTTAGTCCTTTTGTAACAAAGAAAAAAAAAAAAGTTTCTTACAATGTCAATTAAAAAAAAAAATCTGTATTCAGACCAGTAGACAGCATAATGGTTACATCGCTGGACTCCCACATAGTCGACCGTAGTTCGAGTCCTGGAACCTATGGCTTAAAACTTATGCTGGACACATGTGTGTATGCCCAAAATCCCAAGAGGAGAATGGAGGACTAGGGACTGTGGTGTGGCCATCCCCCTAGGGGATGATTTCTTGCTTTCTGTCCCTCTGCCTGTCTCTCCAGCATGTGCACATGCCCTACAGCAAAAATATCTCTTTAAAATATCGCTTTAAAAACAAACAAACAAACTTTGTACTTAAATAAATAAATAAATAAATAAATAAAACTGACTATAGAGGTCAGCAAGTGGCATGGTGGTTAATGTGCGGGGCTGCCACATGGCTGACCACAGTTCAAGACCCAGACCCAGCAGCTTGAAAATCACACCAGGTGTTTGTGCATGCATACCTGGAATCCTGAAAGGAGAATAGAGGAGAAGGGATTGTGGCATGGCCATCCCCCTTAGAGGGTGACTTCTCACCTTCCCTCTCTCTGACACTCTCTCTCTTCAGCAACACACATACACTATGGCCAAAACAAAACAAAACAAAAACCCTAAAAACAAAAAACTGACCACAGCCTAAATGAATTCAGGATCCACAAAAATGCTGTTTACAAGAAAAAACGGCAATAAACCTTTAGACACCAAACCTTTAGCCTAGATTTGGTAATACACTATATTAGCCACTGAGAGTCATTCTTACTTATTAAGACTGCTAGTAGAATAAGGTAGATAGGTAAAATTTAACCAGATACCACTTTCAGCAAATCCATTTATATTTATCTGAACACACTAGATCCAGGCACCCCAGCAAAGTTCTCTAAGGGCTATGAACTAATTAAAGTGGAACTAATTCTGCTCCTTATCTGACCAAACTTTATTGTTTTGGACTGTGAACACATACCTGTGCTGCTTTTTTGTAGGAGTCTCATTCTCTGTCATTTCTGGCATGGTTTCAATAATAGGAACCTACAAAAGGATAGAAAGACACACCAGAAAGTTTAAGTCACCCTAAAATCTTAAAGAAAGTGATCATTAGCAACTTGACCTGAATACCAGGATGCTAAAAAAAAATAAATTGACTCTGAAAAAGCACTTGATTAGGTATTATGAATAAAAAGAGGGGTTAAGAAAACTGACAAAAATACCATGACTAGCAGATGTAGAACAAGGTGAATGTCAAATGTGAGGTGTAGCCAGAACATGCTCAGGAAGACGAGCAGAGAATGACCCTCATGGGCTTAGAAATCACAAAAAGCTCAAAGGGCATGTGGATCTGAGCAAGACCTGGAAAGACAGGGAGAACCCACTTGAGTAGGAACAGTATGTTCTTTGTTCATGATACTGAAGCGTTATGCAAAATTTAATCTGGAATAGTGATTCTCCCTCTCTGAACACAGAAAACAAGAGTGGCAAACGCATCACTGTGCAATGTTCTATACACTCATTTATTTGCTGGGCTTTCTTTAACTTCAAACTACTAGAAGTCTCATATTATTGGAGGGTCATTCAAATCTGGGCATGAAAATTCTATTTATATTCAAATAAGTTAGTTTATACCTCTCTTTAGTAAAAGGGGGAATGAAGAGAGAAAATAAAATGTTTCAGTCCTTTTGGCCAGAAACGCCATCTTCCAGTAATTAACCAAAATGACGAACACAAAGGGAAAGCGGAGAGGCACCCAATATATGTTCTCGAGGCCTTTTAGAAAACATGGAGTTTTTCCTTTGGCGACATATATGCGAATCTACAAGAAAGGTGATATTGTAGACATTAAGGGAATGGGTACTGTTCAAAAAGGAATGCCCCACAAATGTTACCATGGCAAAACTGGAAGAGTCTACAATGTTACCCAGCATGCTGTTGGCGTTGTTGTGAACAAACAAGTTAAGGGCAAGATTCTTGCCAAGAGAATCAATGTGCATATTGAGCATATTAAACATTCTAAGAGCAGAGATAGCTTCCTAAAATGTGTGAAGGAAAATGACCAGAAAAAGAAAGAAGCCAAAGAGAAAGGTACCTGGGTTCAACTAAAGCGCCAGCCTGCTCCACCCAGAGAAGCACGCCCTACAGCAAAAATATCTCTTTAAAAACAAACAAACAAACTTTGTACTTAAATAAATAAATAAATAAATAAATAAAACTGACTATAGAGGTCAGCAAGTGGCATGGTGGTTAATGTGCGGGGCTGCCACATGGCTGACCACAGTTCAAGACCCAGACCCAGCAGCTTGAAAATCACACCAGGTGTTTGTGCATGCATACCTGGAATCCTGAAAGGAGAATAGAGGAGAAGGGATTGTGGCATGGCCATCCCCCTTAGAGGGTGACTTCTCACCTTCCCTCTCTCTGACACTCTCTCTCTTCAGCAACACACATACACTATGGCCAAAACAAAACAAAACAAAAACCCTAAAAACAAAAAACTGACCACAGCCTAAATGAATTCAGGATCCACAAAAATGCTGTTTACAAGAAAAAACGGCAATAAACCTTTAGACACCAAACCTTTAGCCTAGATTTGGTAATACACTATATTAGCCACTGAGAGTCATTCTTACTTATTAAGACTGCTAGTAGAATAAGGTAGATAGGTAAAATTTAACCAGATACCACTTTCAGCAAATCCATTTATATTTATCTGAACACACTAGATCCAGGCACCCCAGCAAAGTTCTCTAAGGGCTATGAACTAATTAAAGTGGAACTAATTCTGCTCCTTATCTGACCAAACTTTATTGTTTTGGACTGTGAACACATACCTGTGCTGCTTTTTTGTAGGAGTCTCATTCTCTGTCATTTCTGGCATGGTTTCAATAATAGGAACCTACAAAAGGATAGAAAGACACACCAGAAAGTTTAAGTCACCCTAAAATCTTAAAGAAAGTGATCATTAGCAACTTGACCTGAATACCAGGATGCTAAAAAAAAATAAATTGACTCTGAAAAAGCACTTGATTAGGTATTATGAATAAAAAGAGGGGTTAAGAAAACTGACAAAAATACCATGACTAGCAGATGTAGAACAAGGTGAATGTCAAATGTGAGGTGTAGCCAGAACATGCTCAGGAAGACGAGCAGAGAATGACCCTCATGGGCTTAGAAATCACAAAAAGCTCAAAGGGCATGTGGATCTGAGCAAGACCTGGAAAGACAGGGAGAACCCACTTGAGTAGGAACAGTATGTTCTTTGTTCATGATACTGAAGCGTTATGCAAAATTTAATCTGGAATAGTGATTCTCCCTCTCTGAACACAGAAAACAAGAGTGGCAAACGCATCACTGTGCAATGTTCTATACACTCATTTATTTGCTGGGCTTTCTTTAACTTCAAACTACTAGAAGTCTCATATTATTGGAGGGTCATTCAAATCTGGGCATGAAAATTCTATTTATATTCAAATAAGTTAGTTTATACCTCTCTTTAGTAAAAGGGGGAATGAAGAGAGAAAATAAAATGTTTCAGTCCTTTTGGCCAGAAACGCCATCTTCCAGTAATTAACCAAAATGACGAACACAAAGGGAA